CTAATGATGCACAGTGGTCCAGGGACAAGGACTAGAAGGCAGAAGGGGACAGGAAAGCTGGTGATAGGGAACCCAAGGTTGGCTAAGGACAGTGTTGACTTGTAGTGGGGTTGTTAAGCATTGTCATAGGGCAACATGTATACTGTTTAATGAAAAACTATTTTGTTCTGTAAACTTTCATCTAAAGTGAGAATAGTAGCATAACTGGAAGAACATAATTGTTGTCACTGAATTGTGCATGTAGAAATTTTTGAAATTATGTATCTTTGGCTGTGTATATTTTCACCAAAAAAAAAAAAAAAGACGTCGAGAAAGGAGAGGCTTGACATGTCGTGGGGTTGTTAACCAATGTCATAAAACAATATGTGTACTGACTGTTAATGAGAAACTGTTTGTTCTGTAAACGTAAACCTTCACCTAAAAGTACAATAAAAAAAATTAATTAAAAAAAAATACAGAATGCAAAGAGATATACCCTAAAATATTGGGGTTAGTGGCCAAGAGTGAAAAGTGTCATTGAATATTAGTCCAAACATTCATTTGAGGGACCACTTGGCGAACATATTCATACTGACGGCACAAAAGTTTCTTAATATATTGCTAAGCACTGAAAAGGTCACTGGGGTAATAACCTTTTCAATGCAAACAAAAGATTATAGAGAAGGCAAACCAAGGGTGGAGGGAATCCATACTGGGTGAGCAGCGATCAAAGGACAGGCCTGGTGTGCATTGCAGAATGTGAGAAGATTATTCTGGCCCAAACCAAACGAACTGTGTTAAGAAGTAATAAGAGAAGAGGTAGTGAGTGACAAGATAATGAAGTGATTTGAATTCCTACCTCTAAATAAAGAACTGAAATGATTGTCTCAAAATATTAAGGTTGTGATGCTGTTTTGAGGTAAGGTTTGTGTATATTTCTCTTTTCAGGACTTGTTAAAAGTTTAGCTCAATAGAGTAGCAGGGATTGGAATTTGGGAGAAAGTAGGGCATCTACTTCATGTGAAAAGTTACATGATGTTGATGTATTCATTGACATAAATTATTCGCCAAAGGGAGAAAGACTGGAGTCATGAGAAGTCCTATGCAGAGGAAGTTTGATCACTTCCACATTGGCTGGAGAGTAACTGTTTATGGCCCTCCTTTTAGTCACTTGGTATAGCTATCCTTTCCACTTCCCAGGGAAGGAATAATGGGGTACATCAGCCCAGAGTCCATGAATGAAAGGTCTAATGTGATGATGTCGTGAATTTTTGCTCTTAGTCAAGCATGAGTGCAGCCTTAGTGGTTTTACCAGATTCCTTAATCTCTTCTTCCCAACAAGGTGTCAGCAACAGGCTGGCTGTGTTTGGATTTATTGTGAGACCTGGCAACCTGCTAAGGCAGCAGAATATGTGCTTGACTTATGTTGTTCCATTCTATTGATCGGGATGGAGTAACTCTAGGGTTAATTTAGCTCATTACTAAGAAGGGAGAATTTGGCTTGGATGAAATCTGTGTTTTATCTCAAGTATAAATCATTTCATCAAATCTGGTGTGCTTAGGACAAAGCATCAGCAATTAGCATTATGGTCTGGGGTTTGGCCTCTGGTTAGTCTATGGGGCAGTGAAAACAAGAGCAGGAAGCCCAGCCTAGAGAGAACCTGAGATCCAGTTTTTTGGGTTTTTTGTTTTTTGGTTTTTTGGTTTGTGTTTTTGATGTAAGTAGCTCAAATTAGTTTTCCATTAAAAAATTTTATACACAACGTGGTTTGTGACATTAGTTGCAATCCCCGCAATGTGTCAACACTCTCCCTCTTTCCCTTTCCACCCTGGGTTCTCTGTGTCCATTCATCCAGTTTTCCTGTCCCTTCCTGCCTTCTTGTCTTTGCTTTTGGGCAGGTATTGCCCATTTGCTCTTGTATACTTGATTGAACTAAAAAGCAGTTTCCTCACATGTGTTGTTGCTGGAGATCTATTTTTGATCCTGTAATTCACTTGTGCTGACAGAGGTGGGGCTGGCCTCAGTTTCCTCATTTGTGCTATGAGATAACTGGACTAGATGAGCTGTAAGGTACCTTTCTAGGACCTTGAATAAGACACCCAATGTATCTGGGTTTCCATTTTGCCACAGGTGTAGGAAAAGCAATCTTAGAAAAAAAGGTTTATAAAAATTTCATCAAATTCTTGGGCAGCACAAAGCACTCTGCATATACATGGAAATCATAGCTCTAACTGCTGAGGTTAGAGAGTGGTTACCACAACCTGGTATCCAAGAAGGGGCTGTTTTTATTTTTTCAAAGGCTTGATGGGACCCTTTTATGTAGTTATATCAAGGCTGCCCATGCTGGTTTTGGCTAGAGAAGAATAAATGCAGTGTGATGACCTTTGGAAGGCCATGCTGTACAAGACATGCTGATTGGTATTTATACAGTATAAGTCTTTGAATAATGAGAAATAGAAGGTGAATTATTAAATCCGTAAGTGCTGTTATCTTAGGCTGGGTTCTCTAGAGAAAAACCAGTGAAGCGTATATATATATATATATATATATATATATACATATACACAGAGAGAGAGAGATTTATCTCAAGGAAATGGCTAATGCAGCTGTAGAGGCTGGCAAGTCCAAAATCCGTGGGTCAGGCATCAGGCTGGAGGCTTCTCTTGACTCACGTGTTGCAGGGTCTGACAAACCCACAATCAGCAGGTCAAACAGTAGACTGTTAGCTCATGGGGCTGCAGAAGCTGGCAGATACCCAAATCAGCAGGTCAGATGGCAGGCAGCTGGTTCACAGGGCTGCAGAAGTTGGCAGATCTCAGAATGGGCAGGTCAAGTCCCAAGAACCAGAGGTCAAATGATTGCAAGTCAGATGCAGGATCCAGAGTAAGGGAGTACCTTGCCAAAGCACCTATATATATGTATATTGGATACAGTCACACCCCCAAGGAAACTCTCCCCTACATCAGAGTAAGGGTATGACTTGAGTCAGACCTTCTTGTAAGGCTATGACTCAAGATATACCCCACACTAATCCTGCCTCATTAACATATAGAGGTTAGGATTTACAACACGTAAAATGGAGGACAATTACATAATCTCCCAAAATGGAGGATAATTATATCAGATCACAAAATGGAGGACAACCACACAATACTGGGAATCATGGCTTATTCAAGTTGACACATAACATTAACCATCTCAGCTGTCTTCCCAATAGGTAAAATATTTTAAAAATATGAAATCTCTGGAAAATAAAGAAAATAATTCAGATCCACAATTCCTTATCTTGACTCCTTGGGGCTAGTCATATTTTGGAATTCAGATATTTCTTGATTTTAGGAAAGTAGTGGGATACTTAGACCATATAACACCTCTTTAGTGGGGTCTTGTCCAGCACCACTTAATTAAACACATTGATATTTCTTTTATGAAACATGTAAATAGTCACACTGAGTGGGGTTTTAAAAATGGTAAATGGCCTTATGTTGGTTCAGATGGGGTTTTGGTGCCAAATTAGTTTGACACAAACTTACAAAAAAATGTGCAAAACTTTTGGATTTTTGAATTGTGGCTAAAGGATTAATAACTACTTATTGAACAATTACTATGAGCCAACCTTAAGGTAGTGCCATTTGCACTAATCTTGTAAACAACCTGGCAAGGTAGACATCAACCATTAACAAATCAGGAAACTAAGGCTCGAGCACGTTCCTGAGGTGCCAGAGGTCACACTGGTAAGTAGGTGGCAGAGGTGGAGTTTAGCTCCAAAGACAGTGCTGTTTCCTCACTGTTTGGCCAAGACCTTTGGTTAGTTGCCCCTGTTGTTTGCATGGTTTAAAAAAAAAAAGGCCTTGAAAACTTAACTAAGGCCTCTCTCTCCACTCTCCACAGTCTCTCTCTCTCTTTCTCTGGAAAAGTCATCCATTTATCACTCATAAGCTAATGATGCCCAGATGCGCCTATACCCCATTCCTAAGCTCCATACGTAGATACTCAACTGACTGTTGGGCATCTCCTTGTAGTTGTCTCAATGATCCAGCAAACTCCAAATGGAAAGAAGCATCTTTTTCCTCAACCCTTCTCTTCTTTCAGCATTCCCTATTCTACCATCTTCCCTTTCCCTCCCTTTCCTACTCTTATCAATCATAAATCCTATAGGAGTGGGATTGAAAAGTAGCATAGAGGAGGTGGGAGTTTTCAAAGTGCAGTAATTCAATTTTACTAATAAGAAATTTCAGATCCTTTTAGAATACCTACATAGGGTGTATAAAATGAAAACCGAAGCAAACAAAAACCCTCTGCCATCAAGTCTATTCCAGTTCATAGCGACTCTGTAGGACAGAGTAGAACTGCTTCATAGGGTTTCCAAGACTGTAATCTTTATGGAAGAAGACTGCCACATTTTTCTCCCATGGAGCGGCTGGTGGGTTAAAAATGCTGACCTTTCTGTAGCAGCCAAGCGCTTAACCACTGCGCCAGAGGAAAAGCCTTAAGCCCCACCTACTGGGCAATGAAACTAACAAATATTGATTCTAAGATTTTACTTTGTATTCTAGGCTACTTTACAAGTTATTAAATCCATTTCCTTTGATCTCAAAATTAGCTATATTTTGGCCACTTGGGTATGTGTTGTATTTTGAGTAGCTATGTAGATGCGTGCTTAACAAGAACAATGCCTCTGAAAACTAACCTTTGCTCCGAATATGTCCTGGTATGCTAAAGGAGTGAAGTAACAACAAAAAAAAACTAAACCAGTTGCCATCAAGTTGATTCTGACTCATGGCGACCCCATCCATGTGTGCAAGAGTAGAACTGTGCTCCATAAGGTTTTCAAGGCTGTAAACTTTCAGAAGCAGATCACCAAGACTTTCGTCCCAGGTGCCTCAGTTTGAACTGTCAACCTTTTGGTTAGTGTTGGAATGCTTAACTGTGCCACCAAGGGACTCCTTTGCTCCGAATTTGCCCTAGAATGGTAAAGAGGTGAAGTAACAGCCACCTATTTATTCTTTCCTATCTTTAGGTAAAAGGCCAAGCCTGAAAGTCCACATCAATACCACGAGTGACTCCATCTTCTTGAAGTTCCTCCGTCCAAATCCAAATGTAAAGTTGGAAGGTTTTCTCCTGGGATACGGAAGCAATTTATCGCCAAACCAGTATTTCCCTCTCCCAGCGGAAGGGAAATACACTGAGGCTGTAGTTGGTAAGATGTTTATGTTTCAGGCTCGGGTGGAAGGGTGGTAGAACATGATGTATAAATCTTGAGGGCAAGCACCATTTCTTCTACATCCTCTGCCAAACTGAATGCCAGTATTCACAAATCTTCTTCATAATTGTTGTAACCATAGCAAAATTCTCTACATTAAAAAAAATATTTAGTGCGTTCAGAAATAGTCACTTTCATTTTCATTATACTGACAATCCTTGACCAAATAACTTAAAAATGCATGGGGAAAAATTAGCTACAATGCATGGACTTAAATTTCTATAATACAGCTTGTTTATATAGAGTAATTTTTCTCCCTGCTGTGTCTTTACTTTCTTCTTGTAGAAGATAACAACTATAATTTTCCGAGTGTCTCTTCATGAATAATTAATTTTAAAAAGATAAAAAAGCATTGTATTTCTTTTAAGTTTAGAGTATTTCAGACAAAAACTTGCAAGTTTTTCTATGTATTATAAAATTTTATATTTCATTAAAATTGTTTCTTAATTTCATTAAAATATAGTTTGAGAATGTGGGTAATACCTCCATCCTTCTCCAAAAAAATCATTTGCAAATAAAATCTTTTAAAGGGTAACATTTTTTAAAAGGAGACCTTCTATGTGAATGCTTTCGAAGGCTTTCTGAATCGCATAAGACTTATATTTTGCTCCATTTCTAGGAGTATTGCTGAAGAGTGTTTCCATGAACTTCAAAAGTTTAACTAATCCTGTAATTTGAACTACTTTATACCCAACCTGACATTTATGCATATATGCAGGGAATGTTGGAGATGAATCTCTTTTGTCTTGCAGCCCCTCCTTCCTCAGTAGAGAGGTCTCTGTTGTAATTTAAAATTGGGCAAGACAGTAACATTATTCATTAAGTATCTAGACTAGATTTTACATAATATAATGACTTTAAAGCAAACCTGTTACAGTTTGTTAACAAGACACTACTAGAGAATTAGGCACTTTTGACAAAAGTAACCCTAACCTTACCATATAAACCACAAAGAATTTGTAATTTTGCAAATGTTCCCCACTATATTCATTGGAAACTGTATTCTTACCCCACACAAATAGAAACAGGTCTACTGCCTGCCCCCTTTTTTTTAACTAAGCATTAGAAGTAATATTTACGATAATTTTTTTGTTATGTAGATTGATATTTTGGTCAATAGTAAATTTCCTCTCTATATGAGGTAAAAGGCAGCCCATCTTGAAGTAATAGAAGTCAAATTGCTCATGAAAAAATATATGCAGAAAAATAAAGAAAATTTCTAGTACAAATATATCAACCTTTCACTAGTTCCATGATGAAGATTGATCAGATGTCCTAGATTCCCATTTATTTATTTATTTTGCTTTTATCCTTTTAAATTTTTTATTATGGGAAATTTCAAACATGTAAGGAGAGGGAACTTCTGGGCAACATGGTGCTATAGTTAGAAGCACCACACCATCCCTCCACAGCAAAGATCAGAAAAACTAAGTCAAACAGAGTCACACATCAGTCCTGAAACCCTAAGCGTCAAATGAAGAGATGAACTCTGGCAAGCACCTAATGGAATAAGAAACTGATCGAGAACAGAGAGCAAGGAGAGATACATGCAGAGGTCCCCTATCAGCTACCACAGTATGGATCCGACATCTTGGACTCCTATTGGAGATCAGCGAACAGGAGGTATGAGAAAGCAGCTTTACGGAGCTTCCAGAAGGAGACAGAACAACCGGTAACCAGTGATATATGCTTTCCCACCCCCCACCCTTCTTCACCCCCACTTAGCCTCCTCTGCTTCCTGCAGCCACAGTCTTTTGGCCAGGAAGCACAAGCTTCACCCCAGTGTCACTTGGATTCCACCCGCCCTCATTGGCCAGCTCACTTAGTGCCTTTTGTTGGCTGCTGGTGTTGCTTTTTTCTGCTTCTTTAGATTTCTTCCTTACCTCTCACCACCTCCCCCTCCTTTCTCTCAAATACCTGACTCCATGCGCCATTTTTGCTTCTTTCTGAAAGGCTGCAAAACACTGCTTGACTGTGAAACGGCTTCCCAACACGTGTCACCACAATGGTGGGACACCCAGGGCTTTTTTGTTTGTTTGTTTGCTCTGATTTTTTCTGTTTTGATTTGTTTGTTTGTTTTCTTTTTCTTTTCTCGGCTTAGGAGCCCCTTCTAGCTAGGCAGTACCACGTGGCTTGGAAGGTACTTCCTTACTCTGTGCATATGATCAGGGACATCCCTGGGAGCATTTCTTTTTTCTTGATTTTTTGTTTGTTTGTTTCTTTGTTTTGTTTCCGTCTCTCTCTTATTCCCTTTTTGTCTTTCTTCATTTCCAGTTTCTCGATTTATTCATTTTTTATTCTTTTACCATTTTTCTTTTTTTTCATTTTTGTTTTTCCCCATTTCTCAGAATCTCATCTCTCCACTCCAATAGCAAGCTCCCTTAGCACTCTTTTTTGTTTGTGTGTATGTTTTTGGCTCCTGTTTCTCTCTCCTCTCTCTCATCTTTCCCATACCCATCTTAGCTCCACATATCACAATCTACCCCCTCCTTCCTGCCTACCTGCACCGTGCACTGAACATCGCACTCCCAAGCAGCACAGACATGGCTTACTGAAACCTGCCCTGCACTGATTCCTGGTCCGCACTGTCATCCCTGGTAAATGCCACAAACAACCCATCCCAGCAACTCCCCTTCAGCTGGACCTGCCCTGCTGTACCATACTTGAGTGACTGACCCTGCCCATTGGAGAAGAAGGTGAAAAGTATCATGCCCACAGATGAGCAAACAAAGAATGCACAGCCCGCCTACTCAGACATGACCAAATAAAACAAAAAAGCAGGATGAAACAAACAAATCGACAATCAATAAATGAGGAAAATAACCACTGAATGCCCCAAAGACAGCAGACAATATCAAAACATTTACAAAAACAAGACAGGATGGTTCCAGTAGGTGTCCAAAATAAAACACCTGATGACCTTCCAGTAGAGGAAAAGGCACTAGACCTAACTGATAGAGAATTCAAATCTCTAATATTCAGAGCTATCCAGAGTTGAAGCAAAAAGCAGACAAAAATGAGGAAAAAATAGAAAAATTCATGGAAAAGGCAGACAGATTCGTGGAAATACAGACAAAAAAATGGAAGAATTCAAGAAAATAATACAGGAACAAAATGCTAAAATAAATTAACAACTAGAAATCATACAAAAACAACAATTAGAAATCCAAAAGATAAACAACAAGATTTCAGAAATGGGCAGTATCATAGAAGGGCTGAGGAGCAGGTTCAAAACGATGGAAGATAGTATCAGCGAAACTGAAGACAAACACTTGGATACAAGTCTATTTGGGGAAAAATCAGAAAAAAGAATGAAGAAAAATAAAGAAACCCTGAGAATTATGTGGGATACAATGCAAAGCAAAAATCTGCAAGTGATCGGAGTTCCACAACAGGAGGAGAAAACAGAAAACACAGAGAGGATCATTGAAGAATTGCTGACAGAAAACTTCCCCTATATCATGAAAGATGAAAAGCTGACCACCCAAGAAGCTCAACAAACCCCATATAAGACAGACCCCAAAAGAAAATCACCAAGGCATATCATAATCACACTCGCTAAAACGAAAGACAAACAAAGAATCCTGAGAGCAGCTCAAGAAAAACAAAAGGTCACATACAGAGGAGAAAAAATAAAACTAAGCTCGGATTATTCAGCAGAAACAATACAGGCAAGAAGGCAATGGGATGACATATATAAAACCTTGAAAAAAAAATTGCCAGCCAAGAATAATATATCCTACAAAACTCTCATTCAAATATGATGGTGAAATTAGGTCATTTCCAGATAAACAGAAATTAAGGGACTATGTAAAAACCAAACCAAAATTATGAGACTTATTAAAGGGGGTTTTTCTATCTGACAACAAACAACATCAGATCACAGGCTGAATATAGGACACAGGATTGTACTAGCCAGATACCAACCTAGAAAATGAACTCTCGAGGACTATGCAAAGCCAAAAGAATTTATAACAGAGAAGCAGAGAGGTTAATCTGTAAATTACAGCAGCATCAGAACAATAAAAGAGGGAATAAACGGTGTAGGTATAGAACCTTCTAATGGAGAGGAAGGCAAGGCGATACCAAGTAATAATAGACTGGTTCAAATCTAGGAAGATAAGGGTAAATTTCAAGGCAACCATAAAGAAAGTTAACAAACCTACTCATCAAAATAAATAAGAAAAACATAAAGTCTCAGTAAAAACAAAACCTACAAAAATGAAAGAAATGAGAAAAAATCCACAAACAAAAGGAACTCAGCACAGGAGAGTAAGAGGAACAAAGAAAACGTCAGCACCACAAAAAAAAAGCACTACAAAATGCAATCCCACTCCTAGGAATATATCCTAGAGAAATAAGAGCCGTCACACAAATAGACATATGCACACCCATATTCACTGAAGCACTGCTCACAATAGCAAAAGAATGGAAACAACCTAGGTTTCCATCAACAGATGAATGGATAAAATAATTATGGTACATATACACAATGGAGTATTATGCAATGATAAAGAACAATGATGAATCTGTGAAGCATCGCATAACATGGATGAAACTGGAGGACCTTATGCTGAGTGAAGTAAGTCAATCACAAAAGGACAAATATTGTATGAGACCTCTATTGTAAAAACTCATGTAAAAGTTTACACACAAAAAGAAATACTCTTTGTTGGTTATGAGGGATGGGAGGGGTCGGGGGGGTACTAAATAGACAATAGATAAGTGGTAACTTTTGTGAAGGGTAAGACAGTACACAATACTGGGGAAGCCAGCACAACTTGTACAAGAAAAGGTCATGGAAGCTCTGTAGACACTTCCAAACTCCCTGAGGGACTGAATTGCTGGGCAGAGGGCTGTGGGGACCATGGTCTCAGGGAACATCTAGCTCAACTCACGTAACACAGGTTATAAAGACAATGTTCTACATTCTACAT